AATTCTATTTAAAGTTTAGATATTTTTCTACAAATAGACCAGGAAAATAAGGGGTTATTTATCAAAATAAACTAGGAAAATCAAGGCTATTTATCAAAATAGACTAAGACAATCAAGGTTGTTTATCTATATAGACTATATCCCATTTATACTAATAAACTATTTTTAGGTTATTTAAAAATAGGATATATAGTCTATTAAATAGACTAAAACCCTAAATAGGATAATAGTCAGGATTCTGTCTAACCTGATCTTAGAGGTTATGGGGTTTTCGACCCAGTCGGTAGATTTGGCAAGGGCATCGCAAATATACCCCAAGATATGCAGAAAAGCATGTAGCTTGGGGGCTAGTTTGAAACGTGTTCTCGAGTGAAACAAAGCTTCGTACGCTGCCTGCACGTAGTTTGCTACAAACTGAAAGCCATGCTCTACAAGTCGTAGCGCCTCATGTCTTCGAAGCCAGAGGCCGTGGCTGTACAGGCCACGCATAAACTCGTTTGCTGATCGCAGGGCCATGTGTATTGAAGTAATGTACTCATCAGAAGGATCCACCCGCGCCAGCACACCAAAACGGGTTTCTAAGAACTTGCACGCGACAGTCGTGTCAGCGCCTTTGAACCAGGACCTGATAGTTAATTCTGATTATCAAGCTCCAAAACTATAAAAAGCCACATAGCGCTATATAATAGAACAAGCCACTTAAGATACCCAAGCCCTGAAAAGCTCTTCCAAAAAATGTCTGCCCCAAGTCCAAAAACAATCCCCAATATGGCGTAGAATGCCTCCCCATCATTTAGATAATGCTGATATAAATGATATAATTCGCGAACCCACCCCAAACCTTAATAGTCGCAAACCCTCAACTCTAAACCCTAGACTAGACCCATATATAACCTTATCCTATCCTAAGCTTTTAAAAGTACAACATTACAAAAACATTGATCAAATATTCTGGGGTACCCGCAAGGGTAGTCAGCATCCGTTTCCCAGCTGATCAGGGTTCGAGCCAAGTTCGACATACGAAGACTCAGGTGGTTTTCCCGGCAGAAAAGAACCATGTCGGAGTAGATATTGGAAAGTTGATTTGGCACAGCGCCATCACCAGCTAATCCCATATCCATCAAAACGACCTTACCATGCAGGCTAACCAGTTTAAACATTATGTAACAGGTTCAGACTCACAAATTTCTCACTCATCAAAAAACTGAGATTCTCACGATAGCTGACCCCGCTAATTCCGCGAACACGCCTTTATGACCCACATGGAAGATGTCAAAGCGGTAAATCAAGGGGTTGTGCCACGGGAGGTCATGGAAAGGAGGATTGCCATCATACGCTTCATCCTGCAAGTACGTAGGCCTCCATGCTGCATTCTGACTGTAGTCATGGTATGGAATATTGTCCTGACCCGCCCGGCATAAGTGACAAATGCCTTTGGCAGCAGCATTCAGTAACCTTGTTTTGCGGCCAAAGAAACGCTGGAACCTGCCTAGCTTTGCAAGAAGCGGCCAATCAGCTTTTACAGCTACCACGCAAATGTAGAGGGTGAGTTTGCGACCTTTCAAGAAAATGTCGACACCATAGCGCCACAGTTGTAAAAGCTCTTCAGCGATTGAATCCAGAACCTTGTAGAACGGAGCCAAGGATTTCTTGTAGACCTTCTTCAACATCACAAACATGAGGAATCTGGTGCAAAAGCTGCTGAACTTGAAGTTATGGTGCATCTCTTCCACATCATATTCAGGGGACAAATTACCACCCAAAATTGGCTGAAGATTTGCCACCATCACACAACTTTTTTTTCAGCGTGCGTCCTTCATCAGCGTGGAATGCCACTGGAATCACAAATTTTTCGCGGCCCTTGTGGTACTCGAAAATGGGGTGTTCAGGGTATATGGCTTTGAAACGTGTCCAATACTCCTCAACAAGCGCAAGGTTTGCTTGGTGACCCAAAAACAATGGCAGCTTGTTGTGTAAACTCAGGACCCGCAAGTAAGCTTCTACCCGAAAGAGCGGATGCAAAACGCCATTTCCAATGTCCACATAGTCGATCGGAATCGGACAAGTGAGCCCAGCTTCCCGCAAAAGTTGTGGTATTCTATTTTCATGCCCTGTCTTTCGTTTCTTGTGCATCCGACTGAGCACCGAAGCACTAGGCAGGTCAGCCCCTGCATCAGCACCCTCGAACTCCTCCCAAAACCCAGCAGCGATGTCACATACCATCTTGTCTGTAACCTAATTGCAGCGAAAGCGAACCAAAAATAATCTATATATATACATATATAATGGGTTCCCTATAAATTTGATTTCATATACCACCAAAAATCACGAAGGAATCCGAAAGGTTCTACAAGGCAGAAAGAAGTTGAACCACTTTCACGTAATATTACATTTTTATACCAAGCTTAACCCAAATACCCTTACCCAAATAGACACCCTTGGGAGCCTAACCCCATATATTTATAATATGTAAATCCTATAGACCCTGAACCCTGCAGAGCCCCGACCAGCCACTCCAGCAGCGCTGGCGCGAGCCAACGCTTTGCCAGCTGGCCCTGCTGACTGTGTACCTGGCGGGATTCTGCATGGTATTATTGCGGTCACACAAATTAACCTAGCGCATGACTTGCACATCGGATTTTTGTGACAGCTGCATGGCCATTTCATGTGCTGCACGCGCTCGCTCCCCACATAACTTTGGAATGTTGAAACGCCGGCACACCATCCAGGCCCATGCGTGGACTCATTATGCAAGACAATAAATACACCTGCATGGCTACGCATGGGGCTGGATCTGTGCGAGCACAAACCCAGCTTGACAGGCTATGCGCACGCTGCTGCACACAGCTGTAGCTCACACCCTACATCACTGCAGTAGATCACACTACGCATGTGAATCACATGATAAAAATTTGGATCTTAATCACTTGCTGGCTGTCTTGGCTTTAGCTTTCGCCGTAGCCTTAGCCTTGGCACTAGCTTTCGGAGAGGCTTTGGCCTTTCCCTTTGCCTTTGCCTTGGCCTTAGGCACAGGCTGATCATCCTGCTCAGAACCCTCCTGACCATCATCATCATCATCATCTGGCTTGGGAATTGCACGCTTAGCGCCGCGAGAACCCACAGGCTTCTTCGAGGGAACCGATTTGCCAGAGTTGGCAGCAAGCCTCCAAACTAATTGCAGACACATCGGGCCAGGCTGAATAATTTCCACACTACAACTGAGCCCATGTAACCAACAAATTTACGGGGAGCAGCTTACACCTCAAAACTGTTTTGATTTTTTATTGTACTAAAACCCCATGCACCTTTTCACCTTGTTCTCCTCCATCACCATCTTCGAGCACCTGAGCTGATGTAAGGACAATGCACATACAGCTGATTATAAATGAACATATCAATTTAAGACGCGGCACAACATTTCAACTTCGCTGAATTTGCGCTTCAGAGATTTGGCTTGCCTTAGTTTCGCATATAGGTTTATTTAAGGATTGCAAAATTCAGTCTTCATATTCAGAAACATTTACATTCGGTTAGCCATGGAGCTCAGAACCCAGGGTTTTCTCGACATCAAACGTGGATTTGAGCTCAGCGATGTCATCACGCAGGGATAGAAGCTGGTTTGCCTGGCCCTTGAGGCGGGCTGTCCTTATAGTGGAGGGTCTAGGAATGCATGGTGGGCTTCAAAACAAACACAGAGGGTTTGGGGGGGCTCCAAAACAGAAACAAAAACCTGGTTAAGTTTTGGGGTTATAATTTAAGTTATATAGGGTTTTGGGTATACAAAGTCGAGAAGCTCTGCGGTAGAGATCTTGCCCTGAATCTTGTCCACGGCACCCAAAGCCTTGCCCTGCGCCTTTAGGATTTGCTTCAGCATCGAGGGGACATTCGTGATATCCTGCAAAAGGTGCGGGTGATGGTTTTTTTGAGTCAATTATTAAGGGCCCAGAGAGATGAACATGTTGCGTGAAATGTCCTCGGCAAGGTCCTCCTCAAGCGCTTTTTTTTTGCGCCTCTTTCTTGCTAAGACGTGGCGGGGTATCATCATCTGAATCTTGGGTCTTTTTCTTCGCCTTCTTGGGCTTTGGGCTGGGAACATCATCGCCCTCATTAAGAGCACTATCCTCAACCTCATCGCCAGGCATCACAGGCGTGGGGCTTGCACCAGTTTTCATTGGGGCAGGGAGGGCGTGGCCGGTGTCAACGACCTCAAACCTCCGAACACAAATCTCGCTGTAGGTCTTTCGGAGTTCCCCAGTACAGCGAACATCAATCCAAAATTCGAGCACATCCGGTTCGTACTTGTCCTTCCTGAGTTGAACAATGTTGTACTACAATATGCGCGTGTGCACTATCATTAATGTTAACACACCATCATTAACACTCTGACAAGCAGCCGGACCAGTGTCTTCTTGCGGTCCGGGGTGGCCGTACAATACCTTTCCACGGCCTTCGCTCGAGACCTGGGCATTACTGGAAAACTTAAGTTAAGCTGTTATAGCGGGCATGAAGAATTTTTTAAAACATATATGCAGGCAAAGTTCGCTGACCATTTGAGGTCGTCCATCATGGATTTCTTGCTGTACCAACCTGATTGGACCGTAAGATTCAACTCCTTCTTGCTTTCAATGTACATCTCCGCCTTGTCTGCAAACTTTTCCTGCGCAGGCTAAACTTGTATAAGCCCACCCTTAAGCCCTGAACCAAAGAAACCATTATAATTATATAATATTAAACTACAATATGGCAAGCCATTCTTTTTAAAAGTCTTTCCCTGACAATCCTTGTCCCCAGCAAATTCCACCATAATCGCAAGGAGCTCTTTGCGCAACTTGCCCCCCTTCGCCCACTGTTGCTTAACCGCATCAGCAATAACCACCTGCGAACTCGTTCGGGCTTTGGCCTTGTTCTCACACATCCTCCTTAGCTTAGCGTCATAAGCCAAGAGGTCTTGAGGACTGATCTTGATCTTCGGCAGGTTCTTGTTCTTGGCCTTCTGAACCTCAGCTATAAAAGATTTGGGGCTTGATTGGAACTAAAGACCAACAGAAAACATAATATATTGTATTCCATGGCAGAGGGGACCCTTATTTTGAAGATTTCTAGGATATGGAGCCCCCTCGCGACTAAGAACGTGACCCAACAAAATCCCATGATACAGATTTTACGGAGATTAACCCCAAATGCTCATTTAGCCTGAGAACCTCATCAGATTCCTCATCATTATCATCATTCCCAATGTCATAATCTCCGGGCTCTCGCGCTGGAGCTGACACTGGCTCCACATGTTCAGGAGCAGCAGGTACGATCGCGTGCGGGGGGGTTGCTTGCGGCAAGGCTTTCTCCGGGGCTTCTTCCACTTTCACAAGCTTGGTCTGCAACGCCTGAAGTAGATCATCATTAGCCTCAGCTAGCACATATATGCATATTGCTCACCCCATGCCCCCACACTTATAGCCAAGTAACCATGGTACTAATCGAGCCGAAATCATCATCATCCTCGTCATCATTCATGGCTTCATTGGCCACGGAATCAGACCAAGAATTCGAACACAAAACCTGAGCATCCTGGGAAGAACGGAGCTTCTGCGAGCTAAAGTTCCTAGCTGCAGTAGCAATCGGCCGGACAACCAATCCCAAAGCTTGGAGATCCTTATCTTCCAAATACGGGTCATCCTCAGTTTCGGTCTCAGTGACGCTATCATAGCCATCATCTATGATTGGTTCGAATGCCTCCGTGGGCTCTGGCTCCTGGTTTGTGGTGATTGGCTCTGTGGCTGTCTGCTTTGTCTCTGGCTCATCCAACCTCCACAAAGCAGGAATTAGCTCTGGGGGCTCTGTGGAAACTGGCTTGGGCTCTGGCTCTTGGTTTGTGGTGACTGGCTCTGGGGCTTCAGTCGGCTTTGCAGGATTCGCAGGCTCAGGTGCTTCTGAACATAAGCTATCGCTTGAATATGTGTCACACAATGTGTCAGCAAAGGATAGCTCATTCACACGTTGATCCTGTGCTTCCCGTAGCTCCTGGAGCTTCTGAAGAAGCAAATCAGCCTCCTTGCAACAAAAAGCTTGGGAAGATTATAACATGCTAGCAATTTCATGAATCACAGGATATACTGCAGGCAAGAAACCGCAATTTCAGTATCCAAACCAAGCGTTTCCACTTCCTTCTTCACCATTGTTCCCACACCAGACATTTCCCGCTTCTTCAAGAAATCAAGACCAGCGTCCAAAGTAGCACAGCTCCAGAGATTGGACAGACCACTACCAGGGGAGTGAGACATCATTTGATCCGCTCAAAATGGATTCAAAAGTGATTTTTTTGGGGCCCGAAAAAATTATGGATCTTTACGCGTTATTATGGATCTTTACGCTTTTTTATGGATCTTTACGCGCGTGAATTTTCAGCCCAAAATACCCCGAATAGATAAAATAGTTCATAATTGCGATTATTTGCGTAGTTTTAGAGAAAAACCCCGCAAGTTAATTATAGTTGAAGGAAAACCCCGCAAAACCCCGCACCTTAGGTAAAACATGCAAGCAACACATCAACTGCAGGAAAGCTTTCGCAACAGAATGCTAAATACATTTTTTAAAGCGGCACAGATTACCTCAGATCTTGAATACACGTGGTGAAAAGCAGCACCATAGGAAAACACCTTGGGGTCAGTATCAG